CCAATCTTTTGATGCTTCCTATGCCCCTGCCAACAACACACACAAAAGGTAGTATCTAAAGAGATTAAAGTGTAAAATATGTTATAAAATTATATAGTTTGTGAATTTGGTTTGTGAATTCAGTTAATAAAAAATTATTGATATTTCTGTTATTAGATGTTTGCAACATGTTATTGAGGGATGTGGGCCTTCGTTCAGTAAATATATCACCAAGGAACTACTCAAGCTGTTGTTTCAAGCACTGGATCATACCAACAGATTTGTTAGAGAAACTGGCTACCAAGTTTTTGCTTCGCTTGTCAGACTGGGCGTCGGTAAAGGTACGGTAAGGGCCTATTCATATGACCTGGCCAAGTTGTTATTTGTTTTACATGAGGTGGGCTAGCCCGGCAAACACTATACTAGTATACAAATTCACACGCTGTTTTTGGCTTTCGCGCACATCAAAAATAATTAAATGCACGCAAGGGTATATGGCAGATACTGTAAATGTTTTAAGAAATTATCAAGTTTATATGTATAATTCAACAAGATTGAAAATGCACGAATACATGTCGGATAGATGTATTAATTAATATCCAATGCGTAAAGATACATGTTTTTACAAGATGAACGTTCATATTTATAGTGCAAATCTTTGTACTGATTTTATCTTTTTGACCATCGAAAATAAACTATATGTAACACGCATTAAAGGCGCGATTAATGCAGCAAAAATTAATAGGCCTTTTCCTATGCTGGCTAATGCTTTATCAATTAGCCTTGGGCACAGATGATAGATCATACTATATGATCTATAATCTGTGCCTTGGGGTACTGTTTATCCACGTCAGAGAATCTAGACAATCGAAGCAATGCGAAAAGCGACTTTTCAAAGATGTAACTGTAAATTTACTATTTCATAATACACAACTACTGTAGTATTAAAGTCTCATTCCGTGGTGCGCGCAGTCTCGGACAGTCAGACTTCATGGTAACGCAAAACGTACCGCAAAAATGGCGGATAAAACCGAGCTTGGGAAAGGCTAATTGCGCAGACTAATTACGCAGGCTGATTGTCAATCAATTAAGATGTCGTGTCAATTAAGACGTCGCCTCTAATTACGTGATGTAACAAGCATCTAATGACGTTGCGCGCAAATTAGGTGATGTAACAAAGAGCGCGCAAGCTAATCAATCATAATTGCATTTGCTTTCAAAGCGCGCGGAGGTGTACTACTACAGAGAGAATTTTATTTGAAATATATCGTGATTTGGTTGATACTACAACGGAAATGAGTGGAGACTGTGGAGATTTAGAATTGAGAAGTGATGTCGAGGACAAGTGGCAATTTCCAAAACCACGTTTCTACCTTGGAACTGTCTTACATTCTGGCGTAGTCCGTCCACTATCGCCGACGTTAGAAGAACACTCTCCAGAACGCGTGTTTCCTGGAATGGCCATGCTTGCCGAGAGATTTGAAACGATGCGCGAGTGGAAGAACACCATCGAGTTTGTTGGTTTCTTTTCAACACGGGGAAACATGTTCGACAGTCGGCATCATTGGGACATGCGTACGAAGTTCTTGGAAGTACGTTTAACATGTATGGATAGGATTGTCGAGGATCCGTCCGCGCGGTACCGCAAACCCGAGGGATGGTTTCTGGTGCGTGTTCCACGCGCGGCTCAGAAAGCTATGGAAGATGAGAAGCGGACGACGGCCCTTGCGTGCGAGGTCCACAAGCAAAGGAAGAACTCGGCGAGTAATATGAAAGGGAAAATTAACACCAAGGAACGAAATTATGCAAAGAGTGCACTTGGAATTCGTAGCGAAAGAGCGAGTAATGTCGAAGTAAAAAACTTTGCAAAGAATGAACTTAGCTATAACATGAAAGAAAACAGCGACAAGGGGAAAAATTATGCACAAGTTGGAATTGCTATTGAAGGAAAGAACAACTTTGGCATGAAAAATGAAAGCAGTTTTGACGAGAAACTACACTGTAAAAGTCTACAGAAAGGACTAAACGTTGAAAGTCGGCGTGACTCGGAAACATTGAGCAGTTTATCTGGTACAAGTCAGGAGTATGAACATTATTCTGTAAGCGGATTACCTGGTACTTCTGCAGCCGAACGTGAACACTTCTACTCAAGCAATGATAGTAACATGGATTGCTTACAAGACCTCGCAGTGGTTGGAAAAGCAATTGAGTTTGAAGCGAGTTTAACTACGGAATTGGTTAATACAACAGGAAACTGTAATCTGAACCAGGACAGCTCGTCTAAAGTCGACGCTGAGTTGGTTTTAGAAGACATTGACGATAAGGATTTTGTTCCAGACGTAAATCTTCCTTCCGCTTGCAAGTTACAGCAAGCAACGCCATCTGCAAGTGAAGTCTGCGGAAAGTTGGTTGAACAAAATAGAAATTTATCACGATTCCAGAGATTGCGAAGGAGAATAAGGACTCTGTTTTCGTGCTTTGGAAACAACCAAGTCACGCCTGTAAACATTTAATTGCTATGAACAGGCAGAACTTAACTTATTTATTTGGGTGGACGGTTATGGTTAGGGGTGGAATAGGGGTTAGGGTTGGTATAAGGGTTAGTTTTGGGGGTTGCGGGTGGGGTAATCTTGGGTTGGGTTGGGGTACAGGGTGGGGCTAGGGTTACTGTATATGTAAATAATGTAAATGATATTCTTTTGTAAATATAATAAAATATGAAAAAGTCAGAATGACAAAGAAAGCGTATGCCATTCATATTTTTGTCTGAAACTGTTTGACAGCCAAAAAAATAGTCAAACCAGAATAAGAATTGCAACCCTCGCTTCCGTCTTACCGAGATGTCAAAACTGAGATGGTTTAAATCTCGTGCAACTCTTGTTCTCGTTTGACCGGAACATGAGAATTGAGAAAACTCTCGCTTGCCAACTCTCATTCTCATTTGCCCAAAGGCCGGTTAGCCTGTATTCACCCATACCGGATGGTGATTTTTTCCAATGTTCCTAAAAATTCCTAATAGTAGACCATAATAATAGTATTCCTAATAGTAGACCAGTGGACCCACTGGTCTACTATTAGATCAGTGTGTGGACCTCACAATAAATATAAATTCGTGTTACACTAAGCAACTTGTCTCGTAACTTGTCTCGCAATGTTAAGAAAACCGATTTCAGCATTGCATTGCATTGCATTGCAATGGATGTTATAACCACCAAGCAATATGTTCCATGCAATAATCATTATTAAAAATAGTATAAAAACCGAGAGTGCTAACGTTTGGCGCCATATTGTCAGTCAAAAGCCAATAGGAAGCTATTCAGTGTATAAACATTGCGAGACTAGTTGCAAGAGAGACGCTACACTGTGCAATATGTAAATGGCGGCGCAGTCGTTGCAAAAAGAAGAACCTGATTCCACTTCGTGCAATGGTTGTTCCAACAAAAATGTTGCGAGACTTGTTGATTGCGAGGCATGATACACCTTGCAATTTCGCGTGCAACTTGTGTCGCAACAAAATTGCGAGACAAAGTTGATTCTACATTAAAGTCGGGCCTGCCGATGTTTGCTGGGTCCGCCTTAGTATAATGTACTTCGCCATGACATTAATGTTGAGATAGCTATTAATATTTTAGTCGGAAAAATTGAATGACAATGTCAATTTAAATTTGTTTCATTGCATGTAATTTACATGCACTAGAGTTTACCTTTATTTCATACCCGTTGCGACTTGTCTGTGGATTTATCCTACGCCCCAACGGAGCTGTGATGATAACCCAGCCAATGAGCCATGCATGTTTCAGTGTATGTACTGTCACAATTTGTAAATTCGTTTTGTTTGTATTAAATAAATGTTTAATTGTAATGATATTTAAAGAATACGTTGAAAACGTCATGTGATGACACAATTATATTGTAAAATATTCGTTACTAACATTAAAATTTATTGCACAAAAAATACATTGCACAAGAAGACTTTCTTAAGGACCATTTTGAATTTTATGAAAAATTGTATTTAGATGCACAATCTTCATCAGCATTGTCTCCTGAACAAGAGATAGAAAACAGACAGTCCATTCTCAACTATGGAGATCAGTTGGCTGATTATCTCAGAAAAGGATTGGCAGATAACTGGAGTCAGGTAACGAGAAGTGGAACAGAACATGTGGCTGGAATTTTATAAGTATAAACGGGCTCAGATTGTATAGGCAACATTGGCCGGTACTCAGACGAACTATATCTATCTTTCCTTTCATATAATCTTTCCTTTGATAATCCTTTAATTTTCCTTTGATATAATCTACTATCTATCTTTCCTTTGATATAATCTTGAAAAATATAATCTTAAAAACGCTTCGAATTGATAGGGATGTTTTTTATCTCTCCAAGTTCTCCTTGTATTTTTCAGGTAGTTGTGTCAATCCAAAGCTTTCTTATCTTTCCTTTGCTCTATTCTTCCTCCAGGTTCGTCTGGCCGCGTCATGGGCAACGAGATCGTTCTTGGTTACTCTGGGAGACAACGAAGCGAAGGAGCAATTTTATCCAAAGTTGTTGCCACCGATGTGCCTCAACAGGTCAGATGAGTAGTCACTAGATGTTCCGACAAAAACGCATAGAATGCGCCTGGCCAAATGTGATATTAAATGCGTGGTTCAATTATATATTTTGAAGGTATTATGTTGCGGCGGGTGTGAGGATTTACTCTCAAGAAAACTGGAAAATAATCACAGGCAATGATGGCAAACGACTTGTGGAAAAATTTATCAAAGAGACGGTAATGTACTGTACCAGTTGCTCAGTTGATCCTAGTTTGAGGCATTGGCGGACACTAGGGGGAGGGGGCAGGGAGGAAACCGCTCCCCCTAATAATTTGTGAAACCCAGGCTACAGATTGCATCAAAAAGTTTAAAGAACTAAGATTTCCAGCAACCAAAGGTGATCATATGGTGGTAACCTAAATTCGCCACCCCCCAATATTTCGCGAAGTGTCAACCACTGGACTGGTTTGAGGCATTCCACTTTGTCATGGATGTTTGTTGTTCAACAACAGTACAATAACAGGCTCGGGTTCCATATTACAGTAGATATCTGTATTATAAAGCTTTTCTAATTATGTAGGTTGAGTTCTACGTAAGTCAGACTAAAGCGGACAATCACGCCGTGAGAGAAGCAGCTTGCGAGTGTATTGCAGAACTGGGGATTAAGGTAATATTCGTTGTAAAAAATAACAACCATAGAGGAATGGTGAGAGGTAATGAAGTTGTACACCCTTATTGCAGTAGTTTCTCTATAGTTCACTTGTTTCTTTCCAGAGGAGTCAATCGTAGGTTGCTCCATCCCTCCTCCCAGGAGAAGCGGTGGTCTTTGACTAGACGAATGAGATGAGATGTACATGCACCCTCTTGCGATAGTTTCTTCGCTGCTAAATATCAGCATTTTCGGTATCTCACTCGATAGATAGAACTAATTGTAGGAGGTAAAATTTGTAGATGGAAAATTCAAGTGTAAATTTTATACATTTATCTAACTAGAAGCAGTTGCGAAAAATGAAACTATAGGCCCTCTGGAAGAATCGAGCCTGCGGCCCTGCGATTACGGAGCAGCGGTCTGACCAAGTCGTGCTCTATCCACAAGTTCATGCATATACTGTATACTAAGGGAGCGGTCATTATTTATGGCGGGGGGTGGCACCGAAGAGAAAAGGGTTGGGTAAATAAAATTTTGAGTGAGTAAAAGGTTGGGTAAATGAAAAACGAAACAACTCAAAGGTTGGGAAATAAAACTGATTTATTGTCATTTCCAAAGCATGACTCACTCAAATATTGAAGACTGAAAACTTCAATGTCAACAGTCATATGTCAATACAATATGTGAATCAATCGGAGTCACTATCTTCATCATTTCCCGATTTGTTGGGGACAAATGGTGTCTCCAAAGAAAGTAAATGTGCAGACAACATGAAACTTTAGACTGCAGAAAAGTCAGTAAATTTCACAAGCCGAACGTTATCTGCGAGGGAGACTAGTAAAGGACATGTGTGACAACTGAATGACATCCTTTTCATGGGTATTTATTTTTTAAATGATACTTGAGGTTGGGTAATCAAATTTTTGATTTTTTAATGGTTGGGTCAGCAAAATTTTTGCCACGAAAAACATTTCTCTTCGGTGCCACCCCCCACCATAAATAATGATCGGTCCCTAAGTCCAAAAACCATGACCAGCCGACAATTTAAAAAAATAAAGTAAAAAACAAATTCCGAAAATACAGGACATCTTGAGAATTCAATATATAATTCAAAACAAGACGCAGTTTGAACTGGTTTGTACGTTTGAAAGAGCATGCAACTAGGCTCTCTTCTAGTGCAGTGGGCCAACATTTTTCTGAGTGTGAACATGCTCAATTCTTAGCTACTTTACAAGACCAGTTCACATTACTCAACGATCTTCCTTCGCCTTCTGACACTCCTCTCCTATTGAAAACCTTGTTTTCAACAGCTACAGAATACTTCACATTACAAAATCTAACAACTACAACATTCTTGCTTTTCTTGAAGCATTGCTTATCAAACACAACAAACCTTTTCTTAACACTGGACTTAAAGCTAGTAAAGAACTACAACTGTTCACATAACACTTTAACTCAATCTTCTTCTACATGTCGGGTCTTTCCCTTTCTACCTTAATCCTTTTAATATATTAAACATTGTTGTAAATATAGCTAAATATTCCATTTTCGGTTATTACTATTTTCTTTATCATGTTTCGCTTCGCTTGGATAATCCTTCTTTCCGCCCACATGACAGATGCTCTCTCTCTGCGTTGTATATATTTGTGTTGTAAAGTATTGTATTTCATTCTGTCTGAAGATGACTTTGAAATAAAGTCGAAAATTTACAGTCTCAAACTGCGTCTTGTTTTGAATTATATATTGAATTCTCAAGATGTCCTGTATTTTCGGAATTTGTTTTTTACTTTATACTGTATACTAAGGTGATGCCAATGTACGAATGTACGGTGTATGGGTATAAATATCAGGATTTTGTGAATCTCACTCGATAGAACTGATCGTTGAAGAGATTTGTAAATGGAAATTTCGAGTATAAAAACTCTGGAGGAGTCGTACTGAGATTGGACTTATAGATCATCGAAACATATGAGCAAAGAAACAATCGTAATTCCATTTGATTTCCAGGTTTCTCCAGATGCAGTTCGCCCGCATGTAGGTGTGCTCTTGGAAGCCATGATCGAGTGTTTTAAAGATGAAGGCTGGCCTGTCAGGGATGGTAAGATTAAGTATACAGTACCATGTTAATATTCTGTACTGTCCATAATGCAAAATTTCGATAACAAGCAACCACAAGTTAAGAAAATTGTGAATCTGTCTGTGTAATTCAATTTGTATTCGGCATTGTTTCCATGCAAAATTTCTCCATATTTTTTTTTCAGCTGCCTGTCTGGCGTGTGGCAACTTTGTTCAATGTTTTCCCGAAGAATGCAGGTTAGATAGTTGCTCTCAGATCTTGTAAACTTGTGGTGTTCAAATGACATGAATCACTTGCTAAAGAATAGGTTCTGAATGATCTCAACCAGGATCGAAGCCCAATATTTTTGATTTGACGTACCAGCACTCTAACAACTTGGTTAAGGGTGACCCAGTAGGGTTACCCAGTCATAAATAATATACTGACTACATACTTTTTGTGCTATATTCTTTTTAACTACTGTAGGGCATCCCTGGATACTTTATATGAACTATTTTTCAACAATCTTTGCGACAACATTCCATCAGTCAGACAAGGAGCTGCCACCTCGTTGGCTAATGTTGTCAAGACATATGGTAGGCATGCATGGTTGTATAATATGATGTCATTGTGGTGTATGGTATTCTTTCTGTACTGGTTGATCTTGTGTATCGTTGTTAACTTAATCTCCATGAAGTATGGTGCATGTCATCGTTTAGTATATGCTATGGCATATACAACGCGGTTTGATATATATTGCAGTAGTGGATCTATAGAGGTGCAACCCTGTTGGCCTTGGTCAATATTCTTATTTTTGCTGCAAACGAATTCTTAATTTGAATTCTTAATTTTGCTGCAAACGTCTAACATTACAAGTATTTGATAATAAAAATTAAAATTAGAAAAGCATCAAATGTGAGATAGAACAGCACGAAGAATAGTATAACTAGACAGATCTGAGATTGTACCAACTTATGTAAATTTAGGATCTGAAGCGGTGGAGTTTGTCACAGAAAAAGCGAAAGAAAAGTTGAAAGCTGTAGAGAAACAAGAAAATGCCGATGATAGGTAACTATCACACAATCCTTTTAAACAGGATTCGTACATGTCAGGAAGAGTTAAAGTCGAGGACTTTCAAGGCCATGTATCAGTAAATTCAAGGACTAAAGAAGAACTGTTCAAACGGCAAATTTACAGAATTTCAAACAGCTTTGGCCTTTGTAAGACATGAACAAAATCAATTTACAAAATGTCCAACTTTAATGCAAGCAATTTCAGAAAATATCCACTAAAACCAGAAGAATTTAAGGACTTTCAAACTCTTCTTTATAAACTCAAGAACTTTTCAAGGACTTGAATTTTTGTTTCCAAATTCAAGGACTTTCAAGGATTCTCAAGTTTTGTACGAAGGCTAAATATAAACATACTGTACTGCCCACATCATCATAAAGAAGATAAAATAACAAGACAGTGACGTATTCTCAAAGTACTGAAAATGTTTAATGTTTAAACCAGGTTCAGTGGTCTTGAGAAAGGAGCTGGATTATTTGGAGTAATAAAGAGACAGCGAGATAATGATATTGAACTACATTCCAACCAAACGGTGAGTTAGTTTTGCACGCTGCTAAGTGCTAAACTCCTCAATTTGATCCATATCAAAGATAAAAAAAATTTAAAGACGTTTCAAAGACCTTTGAGAGAAATCAGCAGTTGGAAAATTGCGATCGTGAATGCCATTTCACCCAGTAATTAGTCATGCCATATTAACTCTTTAAATACTTGAATTTCAAAGACCCCTGCAGCCATTCACATGACTTGGAAACCAAACAAAATGTGTTTCTCTTTGTAGATGTACTCGTGCGGTTCTCTGGCTCCCAAAATGGGTCGAGGAGGTTGTTCAAACAGTCATTTTAAACGTCCATCACAGCCGTGGGAAATTACTGATGGGTCAGTATCAATTACACACTACAGTGCATACATACATACAGTAAAACCCCTTATGAACCTAGATTTTCCAAGTTAGCCTAAACATGTTCTTATGTAAATGTCTTACCAGGAAATTAGGCTACTAAACAGGTTCTTAAATATAGGTTCTTATTTTCTTAAGAGAAAAGCGACTCATTTTAGGGAGGTATGGTTTATGATTTATATAAATTATGCACAAATGATCTAAAAAATGACAGCATATGCACTACACCAAAGCTATATGCACTTTAAAGCGATACTGATTGGAACTTATGACTTAATTTTGACTCTACAGTATTTGATAATATAAGAATCTGCTTTGAAATTCTAGCCTGAACAGTTTCTTAGTTAAGGGGGTTTAAATCCTTCTCCCACGAAGAAAATTGTTTCTCCCACGAAGAAAATTGTTTTTTCCTGCCCTGCAAATAGATCAGCCGTTAAGGCCAATTGCGTGCGCAAATTCGTTTAAGAAGAATGAGGGTTTGAACAAATATAGTGGTAAATGCTTACTCGATTGACAATGTTGCAAGTATCATGTGACTAAAATAGAGCGCCACTGTCCACTGACAAGCTCGCAAGGCTCTTTCAAGGCTCTTGAAAGGGCGAAATGTGAGCCAGGATCTGTATCAACAAGTTGCTGCTTGGAATAGACGTCAGTGGCTTGGATGACTGGGATTCAGAAAAAGTTCTGACTGGAGAAATGGGATTAAACCCCCTTCCCCCTTCACGACCCACTCTTTAACCCCCCCCCCCCCCCCCAACACACACACACACACACAGAAACCTGGCTGCTAAATGTTGTACTGTTATACTTCTAGATGTATTTACCTTGTTGCAGAGCTGTCAAAACTTCAAACGACACAGGAACAAATGAAGTTCCTCATTCCTTTAATGGCTGAAACAACAAAACATAGACATTATTCACAATATCTGCAACTGTATGAGTCTCTTTGTAAACAGGTGAATATTAACCAGAAATAACACTCATCTGACAAGTTATTTGCGTCTTAATTTCAATGCAAGGGCTTTCGGAAGGTTAGAGTAGATTCCTCCCTGTCATGCCAAAGGACCTGAATTCACGAAGTGCTTGTATTCTTGCAGAATGTTACTAGACAGCTTATTGTGTCCCCCAAAAAAGTACACTGTTTGATTTCATGTAACGTAAAAACTATAAAAGCTATCGCAATGAAATAAAGATCATTGCATTCGGAAAGGACTAACTTAGATTTTGATATAGAACACTTGAATTTACATGCAATGTGTAAATGTTTTATGCTAATTTTTGGCGATTTGAAAAACAGTTCAACGTTCAAACATCAATAGCGCAGTCAATATTGCATGTAAATTAAAGCGCTAGATATCAAAATCCAAGTTAGTCCTCTTCCGATCTATGATCTTTATTTCATTGCGATAGCTTTTACATTACATGAAATCAAACAGCGTCCAGTTTTTGGGGGACACCCGGTAGAATGTATAGTCCAGACACAAAACACGGCAGCTTGTAGAATATACTAGTTGAAGAATCTTGTAGATTTCCATCTACAAAATCCTTCAACTATTATTCAATCGGATGAGATGCCGACAAAATCTTGATATTGTGGAATACTAGCTACTTACACTAGACCACTATGTTTAAAAGATCTTTTTCAAGTACAATAAACTGCCGTGGTTTGTGTCTGGACGGCTAGACTAGAATACACTACCTATACACTGGATCCATGTTTGAGACACCTTTATCAGGTAGTTCAGACACAAACCATACAGGACTGGCAGTTTATATAGAGGATATTACACGGAGGCGCGGAGATATGACTTTTATCTTCGAGTGGTGAAAACAATATTTTACGAACGTGTGCAGCGAGTGAGTAAAATATTGTTTTTAACACGAGAAGATAAAAGTCATATCTTCAAGCCACCGTGTAATGTTCTGTTTATTATGTAGTCCCAAGCAAAACATTGTATAAGTACTGAAAGTCACATGATCGATATCTTCACTAGTGAAGATATGGAAAATATCTCACTGTGTATTTTTCAGTATCTCACTCTCTACTATCTAATAAATTAATATAGAATACTACCTACACTGGATCACCACGTTCGAGAGATCTTTTTTAGGTAGTTCAGACTTCAGACATAAACCACGACAGCTTATTGCAGAAATACGCACACTAGACCCCTACATTTGAGATATCTTTTCCAGGCAGTTCAGACACAAATCACGACAGCTTATCGCAGTAAACCGAATTCACATTCATTGCATTTAGTTGCCTGTTGTTGCAAAAGGATTGGGAAAGAGGAATTTCAAAACCTACATAGAAGCATTCATGGACCCAATTTTCCACAGTTTGACAAGTGAGAACGCACTAACATCGACTGCAGCAGTGGAATGTGTTCAAGAGCTAGCCAAGTTCATTGGACCTTCCATATTGAGAGGACGCGTGGAGCTTTATAATCCCAGGTAAGGCTATCACTCCGTTAAACATCTGAGTAGATGTAGGTTTAACCACAGGCAGACCCAGGGGGCGGATGTGGCTCCTCGACCTCGCACAACTGGGGGGGGGGGGGGTGTGCTCCCACGGGAAGATTTTTAAATTTGAACCTCACAAATGCCATTTTCTGCATTCTGAGCGTTGGATTTCTTCCTAAAATGTGTCCTCAACGAACCCGTGTTTCAGAGAAAGAGTATAACAAAAAACACAAAAAATAGAGTACGATCATCAACATATAATAGCAGACATTGCAGAAATGAATTCGCAATGCCAGACAGTTAATATTCCACAAATTTGATATGACAATATAACTATATACTTATCGGGCTATGAAGAAATGAAGAATTGTTCACGATTGATTACACTCAGTTCCGTTATTTATATACCAGGCTTTGTGTGCGTTTAAAACAGTGAACTGTACAGATTAATGGTTTAAAATAATATATTTTACAGGAAAATGTTACTACTGTATTTTGGCTGAAAGTAGTATAATCAATATAAAGACTTAATAAAATCAACTTTCAGCTAACATTTGAACCGTAAAATATATGGTTCTAAACAAACACAGAGCCTAATTTGCCTGTGGTTTTATATCTACAGTAAATACTATCGTCAGTACATGGTGGTCAGTCTGCAGTTATCAGAGTGGGGAAATAATGCTGTTATATATAATCGTCTTGTATATTTAGTGGCAGGTATATTGGTATTTAGGCCATATGTTGTTTGCATCAATTTATTTCCCTTTCATTCTTTATAGCTATCTTGCTATTTTGGATAACCACTTACATCATTAGAAAGAATGAGATATGCCTGGATTTTGATATTTGGATAGAGGAGATTCGACCAAAATACAGAACAACTATTAGCCACTATTGATGCAGTTTAATGCAAGCCGTGACAACGACATGGACTACTTGTGTGCGTGTACGACAGACACTCAAATGATGTCATTAGTTCATTTTACCATGCCGTTGCCTTGGGAAGCATCTATAGGCGTATGAAACGGGAGCTGGGGCTGCAGCCTCATAATCAGTGTTAACTTTATAGTCGGGCAGTTTTACGTACATTTGCTAGGCCTACTTGCCTTGGTATAATGTATTTTATCATGATATTAAGGCCCCAGTTACACAATACCAGATTCTCATCGGAGAGACATCAAATTTTACAGTTTCAGGAGGAGTTTAGCACTCAAAATTATGATAATATAACAGAATTAGTCAAAAAATTCAAATATGAAAAGTTGTAAGAGGCCGAAAAGCATCTTAGTTGATGTCACTCGACTCGCTCCGATGCGAATCTGGTGTCGTGTAACTGGGGCCTAATGTTTCAATGTGTTTGTTTGTTTGTTTGTTTGTTTGTTAAACTTTATTGAGTACAAATTAATTCAACAAATATTCATCTAACATACAATTAAAGAGCTGTACTCAAACGGACAAGGCACAAACTGGACGTAAAGTCCATTGCATGGTGCCCCTCCTCTTCCTAACATAAACCTTTTAATTCGCAGTATACTGTATACAGGGTGTCCCAAAAAAACCAAAACCACTGAAACAACATTGAAACAAATGTTTCAATGTGTAGTCAGAGACTGAATGAGATTGAAATTTGTTTCACCAAATTCAAATTACATGAGGCAAATTTTTGCTCCCCTCCATAACCCCATCCGCCTATGTTGGGAAGCTCGGTGAACACTGAGAATAATGGAACTGTATTTGAGTGGACATTCGTTTATTTAAATATCAAATTAAATGTAATTTATAATGATTAAATAATGCCAGTGTTTGTATGATTAACAATTATTAGTAAAATATTTAAAAGTTAGAACTAGAAATCACAATATTCATTACTATATGCTAATTTGACTTAGGGGTCATCCATAATTGTTAACATTTTTACAAGCGTACAGAGAGTACACTTTTTCGATAATTACATCATGACTACTTTCTTGGTCTGTGAGCCTCGCTCTTGTGAACCAAGACAAAAGGCCATTGGCTCACGATTCATGAGAATGCGGCTCCTAGGCCATTAGAAGAGATTTGCGACGTAGGATTATCAAAATGGTGTATTTGAAATGTTTTAAATGTTGAATCTCAGGAATGGTGATGATGAGTCTATAATCAACATTTTAAAAAGTTTACATCAGTGCACGGTTTAATTTGTATGCTTGTGAAAATTTTGATGATTGTGGGTGACCCCCTAATTCTTGTCTTGTTTAACTTTTGTAGAAGTCATTGTATGAAAATATACAAACTATTCTCATAAAAATTATCATTTTGTGTTAATTATATTTTTGTTAGTTTCCAAATAAAAAAATGGATTTGATAAGAAAATTGGCACACCACATTGCACCCACCTTTGCTACGGCTAGTATCCCATCCCTCCCCCCCCCCCCACCCCACCCACCAGTGAATCCATCCTTGTTATTTTAACATTAAGCTGCCATATTTGGGTATGAGCTACCTGAAGAATATCAACTTTACACAAATCATCAATTGAAAGTGATTTTAAACCTTTTCAGGTACATGTAGTTTAGACACAAACTATGGCAGCTTATTGTAGAATGCTATTCACACTGGTAATCCACATTTTATTTAAAACCTGTTCTATATCTCAATGACCAGCATTGATAAAAACATAATGACCAACACCTCAAAGCTTTGATGTAAATTTATTGACGAACACACCAGAACGTTTTGGCTTTTCTTGGATATTCTTGAATTATAGAAATGAGTCGACTCAACCAATGGACATGAACTGCCACATAGGGCCTCACATACCGGGCAGATTATTGAACCTTCATGTAGTGATCTGTGATGTATAACTTTAACACTCAGGATTTGCCCAGCAAAATAGCATGGGTAGGATTGACCTGATATTGACAACACTAATCCTTCGATATTACATACATACGAATAACACCCGCTACCCCAGTCAGACGCCGTCACTGTACGTGTCCCTTTACGTAAACATAACTTCTGTGTCCATGCTCTACCTTGCAGAAAACAAGCTGAATTTTCTCCATACATTTCAACTGCATAGTTTTTATCTGAATTTGGGTTGTTCGACTCATGTTTACAACTTGAACCACGAACAACCGTACCATTGTTTTTCCAGTTCAATTCCTGGTAATATGGACAATAGTCGGCAAGTTTTATTGCCCCGCCATAATAGCTAGGGTTGTTCACCCCTGGTAGGGTATCAAAATACCGGTAGTCTATGGGGAGTGGGGCTTTATGTTTCATCAAATTGCAGTTACCTACTCCATGATAGTTGTGGGTACATCCAGTACGTGTGTGGGATTTGATGGGTAATTCTGTACAATAGGGTGAAATAGAGCCATCGATTCTCATCTGAAAATCCATCCAAGCCTTACAGCTGTTTTGTGCAAATATGCAACTAGCGTTACGGCCCCAGTCTAAGCTCTCGGCCATTTCATAGTTGGCTCTGTACCAACCTGTATCCTCCATCAAAGCGAGCGTAATGCGAGAAAAAACTGGATTATTTGTAAATACTCCTGTCATAGCCTCATTTTCGAACACTCGTTTTTCCAAATGTGTATGACGCTGACCACGGCCTCCTTGGTTTTCTATCTCAGCTCCTTCTAACGAGGGGCAATTGAAATGAGCTCGGACTTCTTTAACGACACGTGGTGTCACAATCATGAGAACATTATGACTCACTGACGAGCCAGCTCTCATGCTTACTTTCCATTGGTCTCTAGTGATTTCTTTAATGACCTGGAATTAAGTTAAATTTTTAGCACAATAACATCCAATACTTTCTCCTTAAATAACAATATAGAGCGGAGCCACACTGCTCAGCTGTTACTGTTTATGGGCAGACAAGAGACATATTACCAAAACCGTGGATGTTTCCTCTCATGTGAAAAATTCACCATTACAATTTCATTTACTGTTACAATGCCAAGCTACTGTGTTATTGGGTCGTTCCAGGAAAGATCCAAACTCCACCATGATGAAATTCAGACTGCATTCCAGAGGCAAAGGGGGGGGGGGGGGTT